CCCTGGGGTGAGGAAGCCCAGAGAGGGCTGTGGTGCCCTTGGGCCCAGAAAGGATTGTGGTGCCCTTGGGTAAAGAAGCCCAGAGAGGGCTGCTTGGGTAAGGAAGCCCGAGAGGGCTGCTTGGGAAGGAAGCCCAGAAAGGGCTGTGGTGCCCTGAGGCCCAGAGAGGGCTGTGGTGCCAAAGCGGCCCAGAGAGGGCTGTGCCGTTTGGCCCAAAGGGGGCCAGGGCTGCCCATGCATAAGGAAGCCCAGAAAGGGCTGGGTTGCCCTTGGGCCCAGAGAGGGCTGTGGTGCCCTTGGTAAGGAAACCCAGACAAAACTGCAGTGCCCTTGGGTAGGGAGAGGGCTGTGGTGGTCTTGGGTAAGGAAGCTCTCTGGAGAGGGCTGTGGTGCCCTTGGGTGAGGAAGCCCAGAAATGGCTGTGGTGCCCTTGGGCCCAGAGAGGGCTGTGGTGCCTTGGGTAATGGGTAAGGAAGAAGCCCAGAGAGGGCTGTGGTGCCCTTGGGTAAGTGCCCCCCGAGAGAACGCACTCATAGACCTGGCTGGCTAGGAGCCCCGAGGCACCTCCCAAAGCCAAAGGGCCCTCAACACGCAAGCCTCGCACACTCGGACCTCTCCGCTTAGGAGCCCCGACCCACCCGGAACCACTGAACGACAATATAGACAAAACTCCCGAGATTGCCACCTACCGACAACCCAAAGAAACGGACCCCTCGCGATTGCCACCTGCCGACAATCTGGACCCCCTCAGAATACCACAAACCGAAGATCCAAGGAAACCTGATGGTGGCCATCCCAGGGGAGCCGAAGTCAGCGAGTCAAACCACAACTGACACCGGGCCAGCTGCATCAAGGACTCCATGGCCTAACGGCCAAGGCGCTCCGGTCGAATCTCTGTGCGGGAATCCCGGAGAGATGGGTGGTTCGATTCCCCCTGGAGTCACTTCCCCCTTGCCACCTGTTGGCAATCTGTACCCCCCTAAGATTGCCACCTGTTGGCAATCTGTACCCCCCTAAGATTACCACCTGCTGACAATCTAAATCCACTGTGATTGCTACTTGTTGGCAATCTGTACTCCCTTAAGGTTCCCACCTATTGGCAATCTGTACCACCCTAAGATTGCCACCTGCTGACAATCTAGATCGCCGATGATTGCCACCCGTTGGCAATCTATACCCCCCCCCCCTTAAGATTGCCACCTGCTGACAATCTAGATCTCCCGTGATTGCCACCTGTTGGCAATCTATACCCCCTCCCCCCCCCCCCTACGATTGCCGCCTTCTGACAATCTAGACCCCCTAAGATTGCCACCTGCCGGCAATCCATCAGGCCTGGCAAGTGGCAGCTAAGCACCAAAAACGCAGGTGTGATTGCCACCTGTTGGCAATGTGACCCCCCCCCCTAAGATTGCCACCTGCTGACAATCTAGATCTCCTGTGATTGCCACCTGTTGGCAATCTATACCCCCCACAATCTAGACCCCCTAAGATTGCCACCTGCCGGCAATCCATCAGGCCTGGCAAGTGGCGGCTAAGCACCAAAAACGCAGAGGCTCTTTCAACCCCAAACCCTAAACCCCTAACCCCGAAAACCCTGATTCTCACTTCAAGGCCTGGATCGTCACTTCGGGTTGTCAAAACGTGGCCTGGCCGCCACGATGGCCGCCCGATGAGGATGGGTGCGTGCGAGACGCTTGGAGCGCCTGCTGGCACAGTCCAAGTGGTCCCCCTTCAAGCAGAAAAAACCTCAGGGTGAGATGCTCGCACTCGAACCCCTCCGCCTCTGAGCCCCAACCCACCTCGCACCCCTGACACGTCGCAAGGGGGGGCCCTCCCACGCCAGAAAAATCTCCCGAACCTAGGCAGAAACGCCCCCGAGAACCTTGACCTTCTTTCAAACAACAAAGACACCAAAACCGCAGCAATCCCTAAACACTACCAAAGCTTCAACCAAGAGCAGCCCGAGCAAACAGGGAGCACTCGTAGGGCCGACGACGAGTTCGAAGGCATAAGGAACGGCCCCCTCAAAGCAGTAAAACCACAAGCGCCCCCAAAGCCCAGCAATCCCTCAACAATAAGAAAGCATCAATCTAGTCTAGCCCGAACCAACAGAGAGCAAACGCGGAGCAGACAACGGGGCAGACGACGAGCTTGAAGGCTCATGCAACGGCCCACTAAAAGCAGTGAAACCACAAGCACCCCCAAACCCCAGCAATCCCTCAACACTAACAAAGCCTCAATTTAGTCTAGCCCCAACCAACAGAGAGCAATCGCGGAGCAGACGACAACGTTTAAGGCTTAAGCAACGGCCCCCTCAAAGCAGTGAAACCACAAGAACCACCAAGACCCGGCAATCTCTTAACACTCACAGTGCTCTAAACCTAACTTAACCCCAACAAACAGAAAACATTCGAGAGGCAGACGCAACACTTTAGGACCTAAGGACCAGCCCCCCTAAAGCAGAGCAAGCGTTCGTGGGAGATGCTCGGGGCGCCTGTGAGCGCAGTCAACATGGACCCCCTTAAGGCAGAGAAAGCCTTCGGGTGAGATGCTCGCACTCGGAACCCTCCGCCTCCGAGCCCCAACCCACCTCGCACCCCTGAAACTTCGCGAGGGGGGACCCGGCCGCGCCAGAAAAAGTTCAAAGGTTTCGATCCCCAACCCGGAAAAAGTGCCGAAAAACACGATTGTCAGAAACGGGCTTTTTTACCAAAACCCAGCAAACCCATAACAATCAGAAAGACTCAATTTAGTCTAGCCCGAACCAACAGAGAGCAATCGCAGTGCAGACAAGGAGTTTTAAGGCTTAAGAACCAGCCTCCTTAAAAGAAAGGGATGCAGCTGCTGGCTTCGCGTGAGATGCTTAGGGCGCCTGTTAGCGCAGTCTCAAAAAACTGCGCTGGCGAACCCTAAACCCTAAACCCTAAACCCTAAACCCTAAACCCTAAACCCTAAACCCTAAACCCTAAAACCCTAAACCCTAAACCCTAAACCCTAAACCCTAAACCCTAAACCCTCAAGACAGGATAAATAGAAATTGTATGCCGTGACAGCGCAGCTCCTACTTTGAGAAATTGAAATGTGGTCTCAGCGACAAGGCTGAGAGGGCTTATCCGGAGAGCTTTTCCTCAAACAAAACAGGAACCTGAAGGTATGCAGTTCAGGAGCTAGCCGACCTTCCCCCTCCCCCTCCCTCCCCCTCCCATGCCCTATTGACGGCCTTTTCCGCCCCTTCCAGAGGTGGCAGGTGGCACGAATTCTCAGGGAAGGTAGTGGCAGAAATCAATGGGGTGCGGGGTCTCCCCCCGCCCCCCCTCCCCCGCCCTCCCCCCAACTAAAATGGGGCGTTGGTTCCCGCCCCTCCCGCCCCCCTCCCCCACCCTCCCCCCCTCCCTCCCCCTCCCCACCCGGTGCCTCCTCCGGAGGGTGGCACGAGTCTCACGGGGGGTAGTGGGCAGACACCAAAAAACAATCCTCAACTAAAATGGGGTGTGGGGTTCCCCCCGCACCCTCCCCACCCTCCCCCCTCTCCCTCCCCCCCCACCCGGTGCCCCCTCCGGAGCCCTCCCCCCTTCCCTCCCCCTCCCCCTCCATCCGCTCTGCCCCTCCCACCCCCTTCCCACCCCCCTCCCCTCCCAACCCGCTCACTTAGACCGCAACAGCGTGGAGTGCCAGGTGCGTATCCTCAAGAAGAAGAAGGCCGGGAGCGGGAACGAAGCCGTGCAGGCTCGCCTGCATGGTGTCCCAGGTACGTGGTCCCAACCCCAAGAAGACCGAAGTGAGGAGGTGAGCGCTGATTATCCTCAACCAATGTGGGGTCCCAGGTGCGTGGTCTCAGTCGAAGAAGGCGGAGGCAGGGACGAGGCCGGAGCACTTATCCTCACCCAATATGGGGTCCCAGGTGCGTGGTCTCAGCCCGAAGAAGGCGACGAGGCCGGAGCGCTTTTCCTCAACCAATATGTTCCAGGCGCGTGCTCGGAGGCGGGAGCGCTTATCCTCAACCAATATGGGGTCCCAGGTGCGTGCTCTCGCGGACCAGGCCGGCGCAATATGGGGTTCCAGGCGCGTGGTCTCAGCCCGAAGAAGGCGGAGGCGGGGACGAGGCCGGAGCTGGGGTCCCAGGTGCGTGCTCGGCAGGGACGAGGCCGGAGCGCTTATCCTCAACCAATATGGGGTCCCAGGTGCGAAAGCGGAGGCGGGGACGAGGCCGGAGCGCTTATCCTCGACCAACGTGGAGTCCCAGGTACGCGATCTCGGCCCGAAGAAGGTGAAGGTGGGGACGAGGGCGGAGCACTTATCCTCAACCGATATGGGGTCCTAGGTGCGTGCCCTACCGCAGCGTGCATCAGTGCCAGGTGCTTGAAGCCAGAAGAAGGCGAGCTTCAAGAGGAGGCGACAACAAGCTCGAAGGACTTACTCTCAGAATACGTTCTCGGCGCGTGGTCTCAACCTGAAGAAGACAGAGGCGGCGACAAGGCCGGATCGCCTATCCTCCACTGTCATGGGTTCCCAGGTTCGTGGTCTGGAGAGAACAGAAGCCGAGACCAGGCCGGAGTGCCTATCCTCAAGCAATATGGGGTCCCAGGTGCGCGGTCTCAACTTGAAGAGGATGGAGGCGGGAACCAGGCCGGAGCACTTCTCCTCAACCAAAACCGGGTCTGAGGTGCGTGCGTATCCTCAAGAAGAAAAAGGCCGGGAGCGGGAACGAAGCCGTGCAGGCTCGCCTGCATGGTGTCCCAGGTACGTGGTCCCAACCCCAAGAAGACCGAAGTGAGGAGGTGAGCGCTGATTATCCTCAACCAATGTGGGGTCCCAGGTGCGTGGTCTCAGTCGAAGAAGGCGGAGGCAGGGACGAGGCCGGAGCACTTATCCTCACCCAATATGGGGTCCCAGGTGCGTGGTCTCAGCCCGAAGAAGGCGACGAGGCCGGAGCGCTTCGGAGGCGGGAGCCCTTATCCTCAACCAATATGGGGTCCCAGGTGCGTGCTCTCGCGGACCAGGCCGGCGCAATATGGGGTTCCAGGCGCGTGGTCTCAGCCCGAAGAAGGCGGAGGCGGGGACGAGGCCGGAGCTTGGGTCCCAGGTGCGTGCTCGGCAGGGACGAGGCCGGAGCGCTTATCCTCAACCAATATGGGGTCCCAGGTGCGAAAGCGGAGGCGGGGACGAGGCCGGAGCGCTTATCCTCGACCAACGTGGAGTACCAGGTACGCGATCTCGGCCCGAAGAAGGTGAAGGTGGGGACGAGGGCGGAGCACTTATCCTCAACCGATATGGGCTCCTAGGTGCGTGCCCTACCGCAGCGTGCATCAGTGCCAGGTGCTTGAAGCCAGAAGAAGGCGAGCTTCAAGAGGAGGCGACAACAAGCTCGAAGGGCTTACTCTCAGAATACGTTCTCGGCGCGTGGTCTCAACCTGAAGAAGACAGAGGCGGCGACAAGGCCGGATCGCCTATCCTCAACTGTCATGGGTTCCCAGGTTCGTGGTCTGGAGAGAACAGAAGCCGAGACCAGGCCGGAGTGCCTATCCTCAATCAATATGGGGTACCAGGTGCGCGGTCTCAACTTGAAGAGGATGGAGGCGGGAACCAGGCCGGAGCACTTCTCCTCAACCAATATCGGGTCCGAGGTGCGTGGTCTCAACTCGAACAGGACGGAGGCGAGGAGAGGCCGGAGTGCCTATCCTCAACCAAGATAGGGTCCCAGGCGCATGGTTTCATCTTGGAGAAAAGAGAAAGGACGAGGCCTCAACCAATATGAGGTCCGAGGTGCGTGACCCCAGCAAAAAGACGACGGAGGCAAGGACAAAGCCGGGGTTCGAAGTGCGTGGCCCCAGGAAGCTCAAGCTGAAGAAGACAGAGGTAAGAACGAGGCCGGGAGGGCTTATCCTCAACCAATATAAGTTTCCGAGGCAAGGACAAGGCCGGGAGGGCCCAGCCTCAACCAACATGGGGTTCCGAGGTGTGGAAGTTCAAGCTGAAGAAGACACAGGTAGGGACAAGGCCGGGGGGGGGCTCATCCTCAACCAGTATGGGTTTCCGAGGCGTGGAAGCTCAAGCTGAAGAAGGGCAAGGACAAGGCCGGGAGGGTGTATCATCAACCAATATGGGCTTCCAAGACGTGGGGTCTCAAGCTGCAGAAGCGCAACGACAAGGCCGGGAGGGTTTATCCTCAACTAGTACGGGTTTCCGAGGCGTGGAAGCTCACAAGTCGAAGAAGACAGAGGCAAGGATAAGGCCGGGAGTGTTTATACTCAACCGATGTGGGTTTCCGGGGTATGGAAGCTCCAGCCGAAGAAGACAGAGGCAGAGACAAGGCGGGAAGGCTTATCCTCAACCGGTATGGGGTTCCGAGGTGTGGAAGCTCAAGCCGAAGAAGACAGAGGCAAGGACAATCCAAGGTATGGAAGCTTGAGCCTCAACCAATGTGGTTGCCGAGGTGTGGGGTCTCAGCGACAAGGCCGAGAGAACAATCCTCAACTAAAATGGGGTGTGGGGTCTTCCCCCCGCCCCCCCTCCCCCTGAGCGCCCTCCCCCCTCCTCCTGGGGCGGGAGGGTAGTGAGCAGACACCAAAAAACAATCTGAAATGGGGTGTTGGTTCCCCCCTCCCCGGCCCCTCCCCCACCCTCCCCCACCCTCCCCCCTTCCCTCCCCCTCCCCACCCGGTGCCTCCTCCGGGGGGGTGGCACGAGTCTCACGGGGGGTAGTGGGCAGACACCAAAAAACAATCCTCAGCGTGGAGTGCCAGGTGCGTATCCTCAAGAAGAAGAAGGCCGGGAGCGGGAACGAAGCCGTGCAGGCTCGCCTGCATGGTGTCCCAGGTACGTGGTCCCAACCCCAAGAGACCGAAGTGAGGAGGTGAGCGCTGATTATCCTCAACCAATGTGGGGTCCCAGGTGCGTGGTCTCAGTCGAAGAAGGCGGAGGCAGGGACGAGGCCGGAGCACTTATCCTCACCCAATATGTGGTCCCAGGTGCGTGGTCTCAGCCCGAAGAAGGCGACGAGGCCGGAGCGCTTATCCTCAACCAATATGTTCCAGGCGCGTGCTCGGAGGCGGGAGCGCTTATCCTCAACCAATATGGGGTCCCAGGTGCGTGCTCTCGCGGACCAGGCCGGCGCATTTTGGGGTTCCAGGCGCGTGGTCTCAGCCCGAAGAAGGCGGAGGCGGGGACGAGGCCGGAGCTGGGGTCCCAGGTGCGTGCTCGGCAGGGACGAGGCCGGAGCGCTTATCCTCAACCAATATGGGGTCCCAGGTGCGAAAGCGGAGGCGGGGACGAGGCCGGAGCGCTTATCCTCGACCAACGTGGAGTCCCAGGTACGCGATCTCGGCCCGAAGAAGGTGAAGGTGGGGACGAGGGCAGAGAACAGAAGCCGAGACCAGGCCGGAGTGCCTATCCTCAAGCAATATGGGGTCCCAGGTGCGCGGTCTCAACTTGAAGAGGATGGAGGCGGGAACCAGGCCGGAGCACTTGTCCTCAACCAATCTCGGGTCCGAGGTGCGTGGTCTCAACTCGAACAGGACGGAGGCGAGGAGAGGCCGGAGTACCTATGCAAGGACAAGGCTGGGAGGGCCCATCCTCAACCAACATGGGGTTCCGAGGTGCGGAAGTTCAAGCTGAAGAAGACACAGGTAGGGACACGGCCGGGGGGGGGGCTCATCCTCAACCAGTATGGGTTTCCGAGGCGTGAAAGCTCAAGCTGAAGAAGACAGGGGCAGGGACAAGGCCGGGAGGGCTCATCCTCAACCAATATGGGGTTCCGAGGTGTGGAAGTTCAAGCTGAAGAAGACAGAGGCAGGGACAAGGCCGGGGGTGAGCCATCCTCAACCAATATGGGTTTCCGAGGCGTGGAAGCTCAAGCTGAAGAAGGGCAAGGACAAGGCCGGGAGGGGTTATCATCAACCAATATGGGTTTCCAAGACGTGGCGTCTCAAGCTGCAGAAGCGCAACGACAAGGCCGGGAGGGTTTATCCTCAACCAGTATGGGTTTCCGAGGTGTGGAAGCTCACAAGTCGAAGAAGACAGAGGCAAGGCCGGGAGGGCTTATCCTGAAACCAATGGGTTTCCGAGGCGTGGAAGCTCAAGCTGAAGAAGAATATCCTCAACCAATATGGGTTTCCGAGGCGTGGAAGCTCAAGCTGAAGGAGACGGAGGCAAGGACAAGGCCGGGAGAGCTTCTCCTCAACCAATATGGGTTTCCGAGGCGTAGAAGCTCAAGCTGAAGAAGACAGAGGCAAGGACAAGGCCGGGAGGACTTATCCTCAACCAATAGGGGTTTCCGAGGCGTGGAAGCTCAAGCTGAAGAAGGGCAAGAACAAGGCCGGGAGGGTTTATCCCCAACCAATATGGGTTTCCCTCAAGCTGCATAAGGGCAACGACAAGGCCGGGAGAGTGTATCCTCAACCAATATGGGTTTCCGAGGCGTAGAAGGCTCAAGCTGAAGAAAAGAAGAATATCCTCAACCAATATGGGTTTCCGAGGCGTGGAAGCTCAAGCTGAAGGAGACGGAGGCAAGGACAAGGCCGGGAGAGCTTCTCCTCAACCAATATGGGTTTCCGAGGCGTAGAAGCTCAAGCTGAAGAAGACAGAGGCAAGGACAAGGCCGGGAGGACGTATCCTCAACCAATATGGGTTTCCGAGGCGTGGAAGCTCAAGCTGAAGAAGGGCAAGAACAAGGCCGGGAGGGTTTATCCCCAACCAATATGGGTTTCCCTCAAGCTGCAGAAGGGCAACGACAAGGCCGGGAGAGTGTATCCTCAACCAATATGGGTTTCCGAGGCATGAAGGCTCAAGCTGAAGAAGACAGAGGCAAGGACAAGGCCGGGAGAGTGTATCCTCAGCCAGGAGAAGACAGAGGCAAGGACACGACCGGGAGGGCTTATCCTCAACCAATATGGGTTTCCGAGGCGTGGACGCTCAAGCGGAAGAAGACAGAGGCAAGGAGGAGGCCGGGAGGGCTTATCCTCAACCAATATGGGTTTCCGAGGCGTGGAAGCTTAAGCGGAGGAAGACAGAGGCAAGGAGGAGGCCGGGAGGGCTTATCCTCAGCCAATATGGGTTTCCGAGGCGTGGACGCTCAAGCGGAAGAAGACGGGGGCAAGGACCAGGCCGGGAGGGCTTATCCTCAACCAATATGGGTTTCCGAGGCGTGGAAGCTCAAGCGGAAGAAGACGGGGGCAAGGACGAGGCCGGGAGGGCTTATCCTCAACCAATATGGGTTTCCGAGGCGTGGAAGCTCAAGCGGAAGAAGACGGAGGCAAGGACGAGGCCGGGAGGGCTTATCCTCAACCAATATGGGTTTCCGAGGTGTGGAAGCTCAAGCCGAAGAAGACGGTGTGGAAGCTCAAGCTAAACAAGACAGAGGCAAGGACACGGCCGGGAGGGCTTATCCTCAATACGGAGTCCCATTCAGGCGAACACTGAAGGAGACGGAGTCGCCGAAGGCGAGCCATGGAGTATCCGCGCTCGCAAGCGGGACAATTGCAAAAGGATATCAGAGAAAGAGACCATCACTGAGCATGTAGTGCAGCCAGACGCATGCAGGAGTACCTGCTCCCAGCAGCTTATGAACGCAGCTCTTGTTCATTGAGCAATTCCTAGCCAGCGGTCCCCCTCGGAGAAGCTATGGCGACAGGGACAATCTGTTTCGAGAGATCGGAAGGTATACTGCGGTGCTGCGCCCGCACCTGAGGATGTGTCGCGGGAAACTACTTCTCATTTACTCGGCTTTGTTTTTACGCCAGGAGTGCAAGGAATATGCCCGATACTTGGGCATCGACCCCGGATACGAGGGAGAAGAGACACACAACGCGATGTTGTGCCCGAGCCTCGGACGCTCTACGAGTGAGGAGGCCTGATATGCCGTTTACCTTTATCGAGGCCCTCCCTGTGCACGCCGACTCGGGTTGTGTCCGTCGGGGCCTTAAGAAGCGCTCGTGATGTCTCTGCTGAACCCGATGGCGCTGCAGGCCCCGCCGCCGTGACAGAGCCGGGAAACCGGAGCGCGAAGCTCCGAGCCCGTTGGACAGCATCAAGAGCCAACTGGGCGTCAGGGGCCGAGCAACGCACACCAAGCCAGCATCTGCCGACGGTGGTTGACGCTAGTTGCCCTAGGCCTGTGCCACCGTCGAAGAGAAAAGAAATCTTCTCAGGAAGAATGGGTGGGCAGGCCAGCAAGCAAGAGCGAGAGAACAGAACCTGCACACTGACGTGCAACCAGGATACATTTGGCAAAGGGTGCCGCACGGCGCGTGGATACCCTGGTGGTATCTTTCGGACAGCATTTGTTTCTGGGAAGAGGATGTCTTCCAGGCCGGACCAGCACAACGAAGAAGAACATGCGGGCACGTCCCTGCCACAGCACAGCCCAGGAGGCCACGGCAGCCGTCTGAGCGCCAGGTCCGGCGATAAGAACCTCTTCCCTTGAGAGTCCAAAAGGTGCACGGGAAGCACTTGCATCACGCGCATGCACTCTTGGGGTATGCCCGATGACTACGAGCGACTCCTATCCGACGCAGCTGTTATTCAGCATTCAGTAGACACAACGGGGAGATATAGCATGGTCTCAACCCGAGGAAGGCAGGGGCGGGGTCGAGGCCAGGGCGTTTATCCTCAACCAATATGGGGTTCCAGGCACGTGGGCTCAACCCGAGATGAAGACGGAGGCGGGGACGAGGCCGGAGCGCTTATCTTCAACCAACGTATACTCAACCAATATGGGGCTTCAGGTGCATGGTCTCAACCTGAGAAGAACACGGAGGCGGGGATCAGGCCAGAGATATCCTCAACCAATATGGGTTTCCGAAGTCTGGGATCTCAGGCCGGAGGCGGGGACGTATCCTCAACCAAGATGGGGTTTCAGGTGCATGGTTTTAAGCTGAGAAGACGGCAGAGGCGGGGACGAGGCCGGAGCGCTTGTCCTCAACCAATATGGGGTTTCAGGGAAAGCGAAGGCGGGGACAAGGCCGGAGCGCTTATCCTCAACCAAGATGGGGTCCCAACCCGAAGAAAGCAGAGGCGGGGACGAGGCCAGAGCGGTTACCCTCAACCAATATGGGGTTCCAGGTGTGATGTGACGTCTCGCAGCCCGAAGAAACTGGAGGCGAGGACGAGGCCGGAGCGCTTACCCTCAACCAATATGGGGTTCCAGGTGTGACGTCTCGCAGCCCGAAGAAACTGGAGGCGGGGACGAGGCCGGACCGCTTACCCTCAACCAATATGGGGTTCCAAGTGTGACATCTCACAGCCCGAAGAAAGTGGAGGCGGGAACTACGGGGTCCCAATCCGGAGAAGGCGAAGGCGGGGAAGAGGCCGGAACGCTTATCCTCAACCGATCCAGCACGCTTTTCCTCAACGTCCCAGGTGCGTGGTCTCAACCTGAAGAAAGCGGAGGGGACGAGGCCGGAGGGCTTATCCTCAACCAATATGGGGTCCCAACCCGAAGAAGGCGAAGGCGGGGACGAGGCCGGAGCGCTTATCCTCAACAAAAAAGGGGTCCGAGGTGCGTGATCTCAGCCCGAAGAAGACGGCGGCGGGGAGACCGCAGCACTTCTCCTCAACCAACATGGGGTCCCAGGTGTGAAGTCTCATCCCGGAGAAGGAGGAGGCGGGGACGAGGCCAAAGCGATTATCCTCAACAAATCTGGGGTCCGAGGTGCGTGATCTCAGCCCGAAGAAGACGGAGGCGGGGAGACCGCAGCACTTCTCCTCAACCAACATGGGGTCCTAGGTGTGAAGTCTCATCCCGGAGAAGGAGGAGGCGGGGACGAGGCCAAAGCGCTTATCCTCAACCAATATGGGGTCCTAGGTGCGTGTTCAGACAGCCCGAAGAAGGCGGAGGCAGGGACCGGGCCGGAGCGCTTATCCTCAACCACTATGGTGTCCCAGGTGCGTGGTCTGGCAGCCCGAAGAAGGGGGAGGCGGGGGATCCTCAACCAATATGGGCTCGCAGGTGCGTGGTCTCACAGCCCGAAGAAGGCGGAGGCGGGGACGAGGCCGGAGCGTTTATCCTCAACCAAGATGGAGTTTCAGGTGCACGGTTTTAAGCTGAGAAAACGGCGGAGGCGCGGACGAGGCCGGAGAGCTTGTCCTCAACCAATAGGGGGTTTCAGGGAAAACGAGGCCGGGAGTGTGGAAGCTCAAGCGGAAGAAGACACGGGAGTGTGGAAGCTCAAGCGGAAGAAGACAGAGGCAAGGACGAGGCCGGGAGGGCTTATCCTCAACCAATATGGAATTCCCGAGGTGTGGAAGCTCAAGATGAAGAAGACAGAGGCAAGGACGAGGCCGGGAGGGCTTATCCTCAACCATTATGGGTTTCCGAGGCGCGGAAGACAGAGGCAAGGACGAGGCCGGGAGGGCTTATCCTCAACCAATATGGGGTTCCGAGGTGTGGAAGGGCTTATCCTCAACCAATATGGGGCTTCCGAGGTGTGGAAGCACAAGCTGAAGAAGACAGAGGTAAGGACGAGGCCGGGAGGGCTTATCCTCAACCAATATGGGGTTCCGAGGTGCGGAAGCTCAAACTGAAGAAGTGCGTAGTCTCAGGTGCGCGGTCTCAACCCGAAGGAAACGAGACTCGGGCCAAGGCCAGAGGGTTTATCCCCAACCAATCGCAGTCTCAGGGGCCTGGTTGTGCAAAGAGCTATGTGTGTCGACACGCGAAGCTGTTGCCCAAGAGAACTTGCCCAAGAGCGACAAGGCTCGCCGAGACCTGCGCAGTGTCCAACAGGACCCCGCCATGTTGTCAGAGCAGTCTTCAGGGCGATACATCGTCAGCGACGACGTGGAGCTGCCAGAGGATCGCGTCCAGTACAGCGACGTGAACCTACTTCGACAAGCCCTCCTCGACGCCCGTGAGTTCCTTCGCTCAGGCTATACGGAAATCCACTTCCGAGTCTGGAGGCGCGACGAACCGATGAAGCTTCTCTGCGCACGGAGTGCCAAGCAGCATGAGGGCACGATGGAACTCTACCTCACCTACGAGGACGGCGGCGAGGAAGAGGGCCTGCTGCATCCGGCAGGAACCGGTTGCACCGGACCGTTGTTCGCGTTTGCCAGCAGACGCCAAGACGGCATTCCAGCTCCTCGACGACGGCTGGGCCGTGCTCATACAATCTTCTTCTTCAAGAACGATCTGGTGGAGTGGACGGCGGCTCGCGGCGAGAGAGAACGTTTTAGTGTCACCAGAGTAGTTTTATACTGCGCAATGCGCTGAACGGCTCGAGCTTCACTCACCTAGGCGAGGCAAAAAGGTGCAAGGAGGGCCTGGTGCATCACATGCGGCCGCGCTCCTCCATCATGTCGCAGTCGGGCATACAGGTGCTCAGTCTCAGCGGGAACAACGTTGGAGGCGGAGACACGGACGAGTCCCGAAGGCTCGCATGCCGAGAGATTCGCCTATCCTCAACCAATACGGCGTCGCAGGTACTCCGGAAGCAAGGCCAGAGCGCTATGGGGCTCGGGGTCCGCGGTCCCAGCCCGAAGAAGGCCGCCGGAACGAGGCTGGAACGTTTATCCTCAACCACTGTGGGATTCGAGATCAGCAGCCCAGAAGCCGAAGAAGGCGAAGGCGGGGACGAGGCCGGATCGCTTATCCTCAACCAAGATGGGGTTTCAGGTGCTTGGTCTGAAGCTGAGAAGACGGCGGAGGCCGGAGCGCTTATCATCAACCAAGATGGGGTGTCAGGTGCATGGTTTGAAGCTGAGAAGACGGCGGAGGCGGGGACGAGGCCGGAGCGCTTATCATCAACCAAGATGGGGTCTCGGGTGCGTGGTCTCAAGCCGAAGACGGCGGAGGCGGGGACGAGGCCGGAGCGCTTATCATCAACCAAGATGGGGTCTCAGGTGCGTGGTCTCAAGCCGAAGAAGGCGAAGGCGGGGACGAGGCCGGAGCGCTTATCCTCAACCAAGATGGGGTGTCAGGTGCTTGGTCTGAAGCTGAGAAGACGGCGGAGGTAGGGACGAGGCCGGAGCGCTTATCCTCAACCAAGATGGGGTTTCAGGTGCTTGGTCTGAAGCTGAGAAGACGGCGGAGGCGGGGACGAGGCCGGAGCACTTATCCTCAACCAATATGGGGTCTCAGGTGCGTGGCCTGAAGCTGAGAAGACGGCGGAGGCGGGGACGAGGCCGGAGGGCGGAGGCGGGGACGAGGCCGGAGCGCTTATCCTCAACCAAGATGGTGTCTCAGGTGCGTGGTCTCAAGCCGAAGACGGCGGAGGCGGGGACGAGGCCGGAGCGCTTATCCTCAACCAAGATGGGGTGTCAGGTGCATGGTCTGAAGCTGAGAAGACGGCGGAGGCGGGGACGAGGCCGGAGCACTTGTCCTCAACCAATATGGGGTCTCAGGTGCGTGGTTTTAAGCTGAGAAGACGGCGGAGGCGGGGACGAGGCCGGAGCGCTTATCCTGAACCAAGATGGGGTTTCAGGTGCTTGGTCTGAAGCTGAGAAGACGGCGGAGGTAGGGACGAGGCCGGAGCGCTTATCCTCAACCAAGATGGGGTGTCGGGTGCATGGTTTTAAGCTGAGAAGACGGCGGAGGCGGGGACGAGGCCGGAGCGCTTGTCCTCAACCAATATGGTGTCCCAGGTGCATGCTCCCAAGCACGAGACTTCAACCTCAAGAAGAACGAGGCCGGGACGAGACTGGAGGGCGTATCCTCAAAGAATATGCGGTCCCAGGTGCATGTTCCCAAGCGCGAGGCCTCAAATTCACAAAGACAAGGCCGGGATAGGCGTACACTTCACAAGTCGTCGTGATGAAGAGATCGCACAGTCAGCTATGCACGCATGTTCCAGACTAGTCGGATCATGGACCGGTGGCTTTGAAAGGGAGGCAAGCGAGCCTGTGGCACAGCTGCAACTGGGGCTCAGGCGTGCGATAGAAACCAGTAGTTCACGACAGCTCGACGCGATGGATACACCGGTACTTTTCAGCGCCTTAAACTGCACTTGCCGGACGGCAGCAAAGAAATGGACACGTCTACCCCACAACCTGAAGCTGGCCATTTCGCAGTTCACGAGCCGCTCGGATTGGGCACTGAGGCTAGGACACCTAGCGCTGATCGGTGCACTCTCCAGGTACCCGATGCTGGCTTCGAGAGCCACAGACGACTTCGACTTTGGCCGGCGACTCCAATGCTTTTCAGTCCAGGATCTACAAGGGCTTCCGAGAAACACCAAGAAGACCATCCGTCTCTGCATCGCGAACCTTCGGGCTTTCGAGAAGAAGAAGAAGCAGAAGGAGAGGACAGAGCTCCGGAAGCAGAAGCAGGAGGAACTCCTGAGACGGAAATTCGAAGCAACAAAGATTGTGGTCGAGCGCGCGGCCGAAGCTCTGATAATGATCAGAGAACACATTCGCCGTAGGACACCTAGCTGAAGGACATTGTTTCACACGTGACACAGCAATAACACGGGAAGAAAGGTGAGTTGCGAGAATACATAGATCGTCTTACGTCAGTGTCCGGTGACATTATCTGCAAGCACGATGGGATTGCGAGGCTTGCCTGAAGAAGACAGAAGCAAGGACACGGCCGGGAGGGCTTATCCTCGACCAATATGGGGTTCCGAGATCTGGAAGCTCAGGCTGAAGAAGACGGAGGCGAGGACAAGGCCGGGAGGGCTTATCCTCAACCAATATAAGGTTGCAAGGCGTGAGAGCTCAAGCTGAACGAGATGGATGCAAGGACACGGCCGGGAGGGCGTAACCCCAACCAATAAGGGGTTCCGAGGCGTGGGATCTCAAGCAGAAGACGGCGGAGGCGAGGACGAGGCCGGAGCACTTATCCTCAACCAAGATGGAGCTTCAGGTTCTCAAGCAGGAGACGGCGGAGGCGGGGACGAGGCCGGAGCACTTATCCTCAACCAAGATGGGGTGCCAGGTGTGTAGTCTCAAGCCGAGAAGACGGCGGAGGCCGGGACGAGGCCGGAGCACTTATCCTCAACCAAGATGGGGGTTCAGGTGCATGGTTTTAAGCTGAGAAAACGGCCGAGGCGGGGACGAGGCCGGAGCGCTTATCCTCAACCAATATGGGCTCCACGAGGCCGGAGCGCTTATCCTCAACCAACATGGGCTCTCAGGTGTGTGGTCTCAACCCGAAGAAGGCGGAGGCAGGGACGAAGCCGGGAAGCCTTGTCCTCAACCAATATGGGCTCCCAGGTGCGTGGTCTCCACCCGAAGAAGGCGGAGGCGGGGACGAAGCCGAAGAGCTTATCCTCAACCAAGATGGGGTTTCAGGTGCTTGATCTGAAGCTGAGAAGACGCCGGAGGCCGAGACGAAGCCGGAGCGCTTATCCTCAACCAAGATGGGGTTTTAGGTGCTTGGTCTGAAACTGAGAAGACGGCGGAGGCGGGGACGAAGCCGGAGCACTTATCCTCAACCTAGATGGGGTTTCAGGTGCTTGGTCTGAAGCTGAGAAGACGGCGGAGGTAGGGACGAGGCCGGAGCGCTTATCCTCAACCAAGATGGGTTGTCAGGTACACGGTTTTAAGCGGAGAAGACGGCGGAGGCGGGGACAAGGCCGGAGCACTTGTCCTCAACCAATATGGGGTTTCAGGGAAGGCGGAGGCGGGGACGAAGCCAGAGCGCTTATCCTCAACCAAGATGGGGTTTCAGGTGCTTGGTCTGAAGCTGAGAAGACGGCACAGGCGGGGACGAAGCCGGAGCGCTTAAGTCTCGGGTGCATGGTCTCAAGCCGAGGAAGACGGCGGAGGCGGGGACGAGGCCGGAGCACTTGTCCTCAACCAATATGGGGTTTCAGGGAAGGCGGAGGCGGGGACGAAGCCAGAGCGCTTATCCTCAACCAAGATGGGGTTTCAGGTGCTTGGTCTGAAGCTGAGAAGACGGCACAGGCGGGGACGAAGCCGGAGCGCTTAAGTCTCGGGTGCATGGTCTCAAGCCGAGGAAGGCGAAGGCGGGGACGAGGCCGGAGCGCTTATCCTCAACCAAGATGGGGTTTCAGGTGCACGGTTTTAAGCTGAGAAGACGGCGAAGGCACGGACGAGGCCGGAGTGCTTGTCCGCAACCAATATGGGGTTTCAGGGAAAGCGGAGGCAGGGACGAGGCCGGAGCGCTTATCCTCAACCAAGATGGGGTCTCAGGTGCACGGTTTTAAGCTGAGTAGACGGCGAAGGCACGGACGAGGCCGGAGTGCTTGTCCTCAACCAATATGGGGTTTCAGGGAAAGCGGAAGCGGGAACGAGGCCGGAGCCCTTATCCTCAACCAAGATGGGGTTTCAGGTGCGTGGTCTGAAGCTGAGAAGACGGCGAAGGCGGGGACGAGGCCGGAGCGCTTATCCTCAACCAAGATGGGGTTTCAGGTGCACGGTTTTAAGCTGAGTAGACGGCGAAGGCACGGACAAGGCCGGAGTGCTTGTCCTCAACCAATGTGGGGTTTCAGGGAAAGTGGAGGCAGGGACGAGGCCGGAGCGCTTATCCTCAACCAATGTGAGGTCCGAGGTGTGCGGTCTTAACCTGAGGAACGCAAGCCAGGGACGAGGACGGAGGGTTTATCCTCAACCAATATGGGGTCCCAGTCCGGGACGAGGCTGGAGGGCTCATACTCGACCCACATGGGGTCTTGGGTGCGTGAGAAGGCGAAGGCGGGGACGAGGCCGGAGCGCTTATCCTCAACCAAGATGGGGTTTCAGGTGCACGGTTTTAAGCTGAGTAGACGGCGAAGGCACGGACGAGGCCGGAGTGCTTGTCCTCAACCAATATGGGGTTTCAGGGAAAGCGGAGGCGGGGACGAGGCCGGAGCGCTTATCCTCAACCAATGTGAGGTCCGAGGTGTGAGGTCTTGACCTGAGGAACGCAAGCCAGGGACGAGGACGGAGGGCTTAGCCTCAACCAATATGGGGTCCCAGTCCTCCGGTGCCAGGCGAAGAGGTGCAGCCGCCACGCTTATCCTCAACCAGAATGGGGGCCAGGGGGAAGAGGCGCAGCCGCCACGCTTATCCTCAACCAGAGGTGCGTGGTCTCCACTCCAAGAAGATCGGCTTATCCTCAACTAATATATAGGTGCGTGGTCTGAACTCGAAAAAAGGATGGAGGCGGGGACCAGGCCGGGGCGAGCATCCTCAACCAATATGGGGTCCCAGGTGCCTGGTCTCCACTCCAAGAAGACCGAGGCGGGGACGAGGCCGGAGCGCTTATAACCTCAACCAATATGGGGTCCCAGGTGCGTGGTCTCCACTCGAAGAGGACGGAGGCCGGGACAAGGTCGGAGCACTTATCCTCAACTAAGAGGGTCCCAGGTCCGTGGTATCAACTCGAAAAGGATGGAGGGGACAAGGCCGAAGTGCTTATCCTCAACCAAAACGGGGTCCCAAGTGCGTGGTCTCCATTGCAAGAGACCAAGGCGGGGACGAGGTCGGAGCGCTTATCCTCAACCAATGTGGGGTCCCAGGTGCGTTATCCACAATTAATATGGGGTTGCCGGTGGAGCGCTTATCCTCAACCAATATTGGGTCCCAGGTGCGCGGTGTCAACCTGAAGAAGACGGAGGCGGGGACAAGGCCGGAGCGCTTATCCTCAACCAATATGGGGTCCCAGGTGCGTTATCCTCAACCAATATGGGTCCCCGGTGCGTGGTGTCAACCTGAAGAAGACGGAGGCGGGGACAAGCCCGGAACGCCTATCCTCAACCAATATGGGGTCCCAGGGGCCTGGTCTCAACCCGAAGAAGACAGAGGCGGGGACAAGGCCGGAGCGCATATCCTCAACCAACATGGGGTCGCATGTGTGATCATGTGTGTTATCCTCAGCCAATATGGGGTCCCCGGTGCGTGGTGTCAACCTGAGAAGACCAACCTGAATGGAGGTCGAGAGGTGCAACTGCCATGCTTGAATGCGGGTCGGGAAGCGCAGCCGCCACGCTTATCCTCAACATGAATGGGGGTCGGGAGGTGCAGCCGCCACGCTTATCCTCAACCTGAATGGGCGGCGGGAGGTGCAGCTGCCACGCTTATCCTCAACCTGAATGGGCGTTGGGCACTTACCCTGAATCGGAGGTCGGGAAGCGCAGCCGCCACGCTTATCCTCGACCTGAATGGGGGTCGGGAGGTGCTCCTCAACCTGAATGGGCGTCGGGAGATGCAGCTGCCACGCTTATCCTCAACCTGAATGGGGGTTGGGCGCTTACCCTGAATCGGAGGTCGAGGGCGCAGCCGCCACCCTTATCCTCAACCTGAATGGGGGTCGAGAGGTGCAGCTGCCACTAATATGGGATGGTCTCACCCAGCCAGCGAGTTTCCGAGGATAGGAGGCTCCTGGATTCACTTTGTTAGTCTTGACAGTTTCTGGCAGAAAGCCAAAACGGACATGCATGTCTAGCAGTTCTTGAATTCAGAATCGTTGCTAGCAGGTTGCCTTGTGAAAGTGCACAGCGCAGCATCCTGTGACAGCACATCCTTCAAGGCCGCCGCCACAGCATACTGAGTCTCAAACTGCTATCTAGCTTCAACAGATATCACTCGCCCGTGGTCCGGTGCGAGCCTCAGATATGGAAGCCTTCACCATTGTCGTCACAGACGGTCAGCTTTGCCGCAGCCCCGTGCTTCTCAGGTCGACTGGTGCGACAATGATGTCCGACGTCATGGACGAAGACTTCCAGAGCACAGACCACTCGATCCACGACGCCGACCAGGCGGACTGTGAGGACGGGTTCGATGATTGGGACTGGGTCGAAACAGAGATGCAGCGCGAAGCCGAAGAAGATGCACGTGAGGGAATACAGTGGGACAGAGAAGTGGAGATGCAGAAAGAGTTCAACGAGCGTCTTGCCAACTTGACGGTGCGGTAC